GAAAAAGGGAAATCAGTAAAAAGAGAGAACAAAGGGGCTAATACGAAAAAATAGAAATAAAGAAAGAAAGAAAGAAAGAAAAGTTGAAATAAATAAAAAGAAAAAGAAAGAGGGAAATAGAAAGAAAGAAAGAAAGAAAGAAAAGGTGAAAAAAATTAAAAGAAAAAGAAAGAAAGAAGGAAAGAGGGAAATAGAAAGAAATAGTTAAATAATAAAGAAAGAAAGAAATAGAAAGAAAGTGAAATAAACTAAAAGCAAGAAAGAAAGAGGGCAATAGAAAAACAAAAGTAAGAAATAATGAAATAAATAAAAAGAAAGAAAGAAAGAAAGAAAGAAAGAACGGGATGGAAGCGGACGAGCAAGATGATAAGAATGTGTGTCAGACAAAAGAGCCGATTCATTTTCAACGCGATGTGTATGCATCTTCTTATTCGTCATTACCTGTCACCACCACCGTTGTCTCGCATGAAGCTCGGGGATAGGAAAAGAAACAGTGTGAGAAGAAAATTATAACAAAAAAAGAAAACAAAATAAAGAGGTAAAAGATTTGTAAAGAGCGGGAAGGTGAAATAATTTCTAAAAATAAAAAAAAATGAAATCCAGGAAGTGTCGTCTGCTCTGTCTCATCCAAAATTCAATTGCACGAAACAAATTCCTGAATACAAATTCTTCTTTGAAGGCGCGAATCCAGTGGTGGGAGGTTTGGACCTCTACCCTCCTTAGGCTCAGCACAATTATTATTAATTTTTTTTTTTTTAGAAATATCTACAGGGCGATTGAAAAGTAACTCCCTATTTTATGTATGATGGACTCTCCCGTCTTGTAAAAATTATAATCAGACTGGAGAACCCATCATACATAAAATAAGGAGTTATTTTTCAATCAACCTGAAAGATTTTTTTTCTAAATAAAAATATACAAATAATCTAATAATAAATAAATTAACCGTAAAGAAAAAAATTACCGCCAAAATACGGATCACCAAATGTACTCCAAATAATTTTTAGCAATTCGACCCCACCCAACTCAAAATTCTGGATCCGCCTCTGAATGTTGATTGTAAACATCGGTTTTGTACATAGCTTCACTAACAAATCCGTAATTCCCGATTGGTTTTAGTAATTAAAATCAATAATCACAAGAAAATTTGTATCGTCGTCTCTTGCCGTAATGCAAAGAAAGAAAGAACGATAAAACATGCTTGTCATTTTTGCTGTGTAGGGAGTTCTGTCCTCATTGGACGTCCCTTACTTATATAACCCCGTGTTTATTACCTATATAGGTGATGACCATTGGCCACAGGTTACAAGCTTCTCTCGCAGACCCAAACCAGAGACTTTGTTCCTCAACGTTTCACTACTTTGTCCTAAGTTTTAGTTTAATAAATAAGGGTACATAGGGCAAGAATTGGTTAGCGTCCTTAATTCTTATTCTACAGTAGGCTCCCTCATTTCTTAAAGTACTCAGTGAAATTATAGAATGTGAGTACTCCACTATGGTAAAACTTTGCTTGACTAAATTAAACTTAGTAAATAAATGCGCTTACTATAGAGAGGTAATTAGAAAGATTGATTTGCAAGTGATCAGGGTTCGATAGTCACTTTCGTAGAGCTGGAAGTAATTGATCGCGCTACTATCGTGACCTTGTGTCTGACATGTTTAAGATTATCTACCAATTACAATTTTATGAGAAGACAGAACTAATTGCGCTTGAAATACACTCTATCACAGAAATTGTTAAAAATGGTTTGCAAATTAAAGTATCGAATCCTCCTTTATCAATCGAATTCACCCCAACCAAGGCAGTAAAGCCACTAAGACACCAAGGGTTACTTAGTGTGAAAGAATTAGAAAGCAGAAACATTATTAGGACGCGAGAGAAATTGAAGAATAATCAGGAAGAGTAGTAGATAACGAATGACATTGCATTTAAATTTTTGAAGATCAAAGTTAACTGGAAAGCATGACGCCGGAAAAGAGTTCCACAAGAGAGAAGTGCGAGAAAATAAACTGTTAGCATAGAAATTACGGTTATATCTAGCCAATTCAAATGTAAATTGATGAGACCTGACCGCCAATCTAGTACTGCGCTTAAATTCATAAAATTTAGGTACCATAGTGAAAAGCGATATTTATTCGTAAAAATAAAAAAATGTGGCACAATGCCAAAAAAGGGAAATGGGGAATGGAGAAAAGGACGGTCTTCTTCTCCCTTAACTTTAAACTTAGCTAGCCACAAACACTGACTCAAACATACCACAATATTCCTAACACGAAAACAACGCATTCTTGCTTACCTTTCTTACTACATACACCGTAATACCTGATTGTCTCTATGAAAGTCCTAACTAGTCTCTATATGTACAATTCATTGTCTGTGTGATGGGGGAATAAAGTAACAGGTTTAAAAAATAAAACATTAATGAATATTTACATAGTGAAGAGCTATATGAACAATTAGCATGAAAGTATTTATAGAAAAGGCATAGAGAAGCAATTTAACGGCGGTGGGAAAGTGACTGAAGCCGAGACACCAGATCAGGACCAATAATATTGCAGATTCTGCTTTGGATTTTATCAAGAATCCCTAAATATATTAGCAGGAGCATCGGATCATATGTGGCAGCAATATTCTAAGCATGGACGAATGGTGGACTTATAGGATAGGTTCTGGTGAGAAACAGTGTCTTTCACGATACAGTGCACCAACTTTCTGAGCAGTAGAAATTTTATTTCTTTACATATACAATCTTATTTTGTCATTAATACTTGGCATCATTTTTGACCCCTTTTCTCATTTGCAACACGCTTCTGTCGTAAAATTACTTACAGGTCATTTTGATATTAAAATAATGTACAGTTTATTTTTATCGTAAAATTAATTAAAGTACTTTTCTATAATTAAAGTATTAGCAATGATTTTTTTTAATCATAGCATCCCATGCACTAAGAGACAAGGGCTAACTGACTGTGAAAGAATAAGAAAAAAGAGAAACATTATTAAGGAGCGAGAACAATAGAAGAGTAATTGGATTAGATTTGTTTGTTTAACGGCATATCAACTCGTTTACGGGTCATTTAATGCCAAAATTTAATTTTGGAGGGAGCTTTGAAATAATAAAAATATGATATATGTTATTCTGCCTTCACAGTTGAATACATGGTAGATGATACTCAGCTTTTGTTCATATACATGTTTGTGTGAACCTAATTACAAGAGGCGGTGATGTTTGTGTTTTATGTTGTAAATATACGGAAAAAGAAAAGAAGTCGGATAAGCCCCAGTTATTCAGCTTCTTCTTTCTCTCTATCTTTTTCTGTCTGTCTGTCTGTCTGCTTGCCTTTCTGTCTGTTTCTGTTTTTGTCTGTCTGTCTGTCTCTCGCTATCTATTTATGAATTGGGATCAAATTCAAATCAAATATGGAACGGAATCCGACAGAATGATAAGATGAAGGACGAATAGGAAATGCTTATCAACCTAACATTTAATTCTGAAATTTAATTTTCTTGGGAGCTTTGAAGTAATAAAAATATAATGTTATTCTGCTTTCACAATTGAATACATGGTAGATAATACTCAGCTTTTATGCATATACATGTTTATGTGGACATAATTACTAGAGGCGGTGATATGTGTGTTTTATGTTGTAGTTTTGTTGAAGTTATATTTTGAAATACAGTTTGATTTCTGTAAGAAATTGTAGGATATTATATGGATGAATATCATGAAAGAGTTCTTTTATTTTGGTTGTTTGGCTGATTTTGTTTAGCGTCATATCAACACTCCTATGGGTTATTTAATGCCGAAATCTAAATATCTTGAACACAATTTCAATACTTCAATTTAATATATTTTGAACGCAATCAAGTACGGATAGAATGTATTGTTGGTAATTTTCCTATAAACAACCGCGTCCTGGTAAGACGATAAACTACATCCGTGTCCTGGGTAAGACGATAAACTACATCCCACAGCAAGGACTCTTGATCAGGAGGTTTTGAAAAGCGTGGAACCACCTCTTAATTGCAGGTGTTCTCAGGTCCATCCTGACCTGGGGTGGTAGCACATGTTAGGGTCCCAGCTATGGGTAAATAGTTAACCCCTAAACTAGGGTTAAAACACCATGAAAGTGTAAAAATGGGTTTCGATACCAGAAATATATTTTTGTAAAAAGATTACCAGTAATGAATTTTTGAAGACAAATATTATTACCGGCAATACATTTTTGAAGAAAAAAAAACATTACCAGTAATACGTTTTTGGGGAAAATATTACCAGCAATACAAATCTTCTCGGCATTAAATAACCCATTGAGGTGTTGATATGTCCTAAAACAAAACAAAACAAATATAAATTAGCAGTGTTAGTAATTTCCCTATCAATAGGTATTACTGATAATTTTACTGTAAATAGGCATTGTTGGTAATTTTACTATAAAAATGTATTTTTATAATTTCATAGTGTTTTTTTTTATTTTCGGGGTGGGGGTCATTATTTGTCCATAGCTCAGACTCTAACAAGTTCTACCATCCCTGGTAAAAGTGGACCTGTAGAAGAGTAATCAAGAAGGCAGTAGATAATTATTGACATTGTATTTAAATTTTTGAAGATCAAAGTTGGCTGGTATGTGTGAAGCCAGAAGAGGGCTTCACAGGCAAGAAGTGTGTGGAAAGAAACTGTTAACATAGAACTTACGGTTACATCTAGACAGTTCAACTATGAAATGATGAAACCGAACCGCCAATCTAGTACTGTAATTTATAAATATACCAGCCCCGTTTTGTTAATATTATTGGTATTAAAACCTGGTCACTATGTATTCAAGTGCTAAATTACTAAATACTACTACTACTACTACCACTACTACTACTACTGCTACTACTACTACTACTGCTGCTGCTGCTACTGCTGCTACTGCCGCTAATTGTTCTCAAACGTAGAGCTCATACCTTACCAAGGTTTTTATCTATGTAAAATGCAGGCTTACAGTTACATCTCGTTGAACCGCCGGTTCCCGTACGATCACCGTTAAGCAACGTTGAGCCTGGTCAGTACCTAGAAGGGTGATCACATGGGAATAGCAGGTTCTGTAAG